CCATGAGAATCCAACATGGCATCAAATGGAATCAGCCTCCCATGTGTTCACTGGGATTGCAGCTCCCAGTCCCTCCCTGTTCCCTCAGGGGTGCAGATCAAACTCCCGCAGTGGGAAAGGAGAGGCTTTGCCCACATCCCACCTCAGCACTGCACTGGAAGTTCTCTGGGAGCTCCAAACGCTGTGGGATCCTCTGGGTCGTGTCCTCAGCAGGCCCAAGGGCTGCACCAAGCCCCAAGCCTGGCTTAGCTGATCCCAGCCCTGGGATCTCTGCATGGACTGTCCCAGCTGGGCCCCGGTGAGATGGGAAGCCTGTGGTGGAGCCCAGAACTGAATCCAGGTCTCTCAGCCACTGGATTACAGCTCCAGTCCACCACAGGGAACACATCCCAGCCCACCTCCCATGGCATTGTTGGCCAGAGCACGGATTGACCACCAGAGAACATCCACACGACCACGTGGGAACTCATCGACCCACTGGAGTTGTCTTGGCTGGACATCCCACTCTGCCAACAGCTCCAGCCACCCAACTAACCCTGGGACATTCCTTTGGGGATTTTGAACAGCTCCATTGGATCCACTTGGTTACAAAAGTCACGAGGCCTCAGAGAGCACCAACCCAGACACTGCACTGGAAGGGGATGTGCTGAGCTGGAAAAGGGGGTTCACTCCTCAAGGACAGGCTGGATGGGGCTTGGAGCAACCTGGGCTAGTGGAAGGTGTGGCAGGGAGTGGAATGAGATGGGATTTAAGGTCCCTCCCAGCCCAAATCACTCCGTGGTTCTGATTTTGGATCAACTGAAGGAACTCAAGGTTCCAACTGAAAACAATTAAATAAACACCGAGAGCCACGTAAGATCTTCACACCTGACAAAGCTGAAATGAAAACATCAGTGATTCCTCTGGCAGCTCCTCACGTGCTCCAAACTGTGGAAAATAAGAAGGGAGCAGATGGGATGGATCAGTCACAGTGCCTGGATTAAAGTCAAATCCCAAGCAGAAATGCCAGTGGCACCTCAGCTGTTCCATCCTGGCTCCCAGGGCAGCATTAGGGCCGGGAAGAAGATCCCAGGGCTGGAG